TTAATTTGTTCCCGTATCCAATTGAGACATGTAGTCACAATATTTAGCACTTCCTCAATTATATCAATGAAGAAATTTAATAGTAATTGAGTTCTAAAAAAAATATAAAATGCTTAAGACGGCCATGATAAGACTCTACAATCCATTGGGATTAAGTAAGTCTTCTGTCAATGTTAGCCTGTAGATCAGAGTGTTGTCTCTGACCAGTCTTAAGATACGAGTACATACTGGTATTACTATCAGATGCCACAAACATTGGCAGGACATCTCTAAAACCACGATCAACGACTACATTGTCGTCTTGCTCCAACCGTGTGAGCTTGTTTATGATATTTTTGTGATGCTTGTATCATTTTGGCTTTCAGGGAATGGTCCTACTGTGTCCAAAATGTAGCCATCAGGTAGAGCTAATTTAAGATAATTACGCTCCTTCTGGCCACCGTAAGACATTCTGTGAAGCTTATTGTCAGCACTTTTTTTCAACATAAATATGCGTACCATCTTTTAGGGCAGTCACTTTTTCTCCAAGGAATGTTCCTGAGAATAGGGTATTGTGTGAAAGTATATGTTCCCTACTCCAATGGTAAGGACCAAGGAACACTGGACCTGTAGATTTATTCGATGCTTGTACTACAAAATGAAAGGTTTTTGAAATACCAGGCAGGAAAATTCCAAAAAGATATCAGTTTTATCTTAACCCAAAACAGTAAGACATTTTGTGTAGTTTTGGTAATGAAGAAGAAAGAAATGGGGCGCATAAAATATCACCTAAAAACAATGTAAAAACGAAAGTCTGATGATAAAATGTATAAAAAAGATAAGAAAATGTATAAGAACAAATTCTAAAAAGTGACAAGAAAATTACATTTGATCTCAAAATTGATTGTTAACAAAACCTTTATGAATCACGCCAAGTGATGAAATAAATTGGATTTTGGAATTGTTTGTGACCTAACATACACTGGAAGTTTTATTCTAGGTTTGCAACGAACTGCTTTACCAATCACCTTTAATCAGGTGAATGTTTTTTGTTGGACGCCAGGGAGGTGTCTTAGACCCTCCCCATTTTGGGTACACAGGGTACTTTGTTGTGCGAAATGAATACTCTCCACCACTTCTTTTTGGAGATGGATTTTGTGCTTGAGCCAAATTTCTTGTCCCGTTACGAATTAATAAAAAAATAATATTTTGACAATGATTTGGAAAAACATCTAGGAGACTTTACGCCGAAAACTGTTGTTTGATCGTTTGACATGGTTTAAGCGAGTAACAAGGAATCTGGTTTGAGCACAAAATCCATGCTTGAGCATGAGAACGGTTTCATGAATACAGGCCCAGGTATCACACAGAACTCTTATAAGGTTTGCAATCCAGAGAGAGGAAGCAGAGACATTAATGTTAAGACTCTTGGTATCACCAATGAGACCTAGAAGAACGACACAGCTGTATGGTGCAGTGTTTATCTAATTAATTTTTTACATACTTTATCTAATTTCTTGTCGTTGTTTTCGTTTCCATTTCATCGATTATCACTTTGACGACGTTACATTGCTTGGATTTTACCTTGATTTCCATATCCAAAGCAATGCCGGTGTCGTCCATGAAGCAGAATACGCTTACCCTTCCGAAACACCTGGTCGGTCTTATTTTCCTTGTATCCTTTTAAGGGTCTTCGTGAAAATCGTTCCCTTTTTAAATCTTTCCCTTAGTTTTATCGGGTCTGAGATCAAGTTACGGTTCTGTTGTCACTACGGTGTTATCTTGATGTGTTTTTGGGGAGTAGGTAATGGAGACAAGATCAACAACCATCTGGCAATCTCAACATACGTAAACGTCATACGTGTAATAAACTTACTAACGGATACACAGTTAATTAGAGAAATATTCCGGAGAACTGTTTTCACCGTTTAGCTTTGAAGAGCAGCATGTTACATGGTTGACGACATAATTATCTAATCTTTGCGAGGACAAACATTTCCAATTTATTAACAACTGGCAGAGAAATCGATATTCTATGGCACCAGCAGATATGTAAACATCAAACATGTGTGTGCGGTCTGCAGACTTAATTAGATACGGTGTGATGATACCGTTGTGATGATAACGCTGTGATGATAACGATGATAACGTTGTGATGATGACGGTGTGATGATACCGTTTAGCATTGGACAGAGAAGCTATATGAGAAACTAAATATGTCATATATTCCAGGCGTTGATACATTTTAAACGGTATCATTTTGAAGACACGTTTTCTATTTAACTGCTTTGCTTGTTTGTTTGGGGTTCCGTCCTTGCAACAGCCAGGGTCATATAAGGACGGAGTAATTAACTGTAGCGGCATCAATTTATACATTCACTTTAATTAATGTTTTTTTTTTAATTTACAAAAATTGTGAAACGTGTTTATCAATGTACATTAATCACTCTTGTTGGCCCTGACGGTGGATGTTCTTAATTGTGGGAGGAAATTGGAATACCCATAAACAACACCCACGTGGTCGGGTATGCATGTGACTCCACACCTTTTTACGTCATAAAGGGGAATCGCTCGAACCCAAGGCGTTTTGGTGAAAGGCGCGTGGACTATCCATTATACCACCCAACCGTTCACATCGAGATGTTCCTAGCAGACTGTCATTATCATAAGCAAGCACAATGTTCTGATTGATTGTTTTTTGTTGTTGTAATTTGAACCTGGTATTAATACTTAACCCTTTTTTCTCGTCTTTTTTATGTGCGAAATAAAAATAACACATACACATTCTGACCGCTAGGCCTTTCTGCGTTCTCTGGATCTGATGTCAACTTCATAGTGCTACCTCACTGAAATACCATGCCGAAGGCACCCATGACAGCTTTCCACCCGGTCGCAGTATACCGACTGAACGTTAGCAAGGAATAGCAACTACTATGTTTTGGGACTTTGGTATGCACCGGCCAGGGGCACGGGGACAGAACCCTTTGACTATCCCACTGGCGCGAACGCTCAAAATATAAGTCAAACGTGAGGCATTGCCAAGCAAGGCACTAGGAAACAAAAAGGTTGTTAGGAAGTATATATAGAGATCCCAAATGTTGTATTTAGGGCAGCAGATCTATTACGGTCTCTTCTTCAATGTCACTGTAGATGAAGACACGGAAGAAAACCACACACACACGCGCACCTATGTCGCCTTTTACGACTTGTAACTGGGATACGGCAGTCCTATTCTTTCCCCCGAACCTGCAGGGATTGTGGTGTCGAGGAATGCGTCCCGCAGTACAAAGATCAAGAATAGAAAAGATAAGAAAACTATGAGATCTCAACTGTCACAATAGCCAGTGCCCACTGTGGGCGTCCATTTTGACATTTGGACATTTTTGGCACAGTAGTAGGATGTATGTGTACTCTCTTTACTTAATAACAAGCTTTCGGTACTCGTACTGGTCACCTTGTGTAGCCTCACACGAGGGGTATCAGTTTTGAGAGCTTATGGGTGTCAGCACCGAAGCGAGTGTCCAATGTGTTGTGAACGGGTTGTGATAATGTTTTAGTGATATACCTATCTACCAATCCCCCTCACGGATAGTGTCGTTACTAACGTTGATTTTACTATACATACGATCATGTCCCTCAAATGTTGCTGTGCATTGTGTAGAATAGAATTTCTTTATCTTCGGAAGAGGTTAAGAGTTGCTTTATTATGATGCAAGTGTTGTTCTTTTATAAATAACGCTTTAAGCAGTACAATGTAAAAAAAGAAAAATCATCATAATCCTGAAAACTCTTTGTCGGTATAAGGTTTTCAATTTAAGAGGGCATTGAGGTTTCGGTTAATTATTTTTTAGATCAGGATAACAGATGTCTGTAGCAGATGGTGACGGAAAAAGTAACGACGATTTCTTCACATGGCAAAAAGAATAAGGAATCAAAACAGAAGTGTTGTCATCTGTTCCTTATAGAAATAAAGCCATGGTTCTTCATGCCTATTGTCATAAGGGAGGTGTTAATGGCATTATCTCATCTTTCTATATAGTTTGGTGTAATAACATCAATAAAATCATCGAAGCATACTTATCCATGCAGTCATGATATTACCGAAGCACGTTCCCGAAACTCCAATGCCCTAACCCTTTTGCCCTTTTTAACCGAACCCTAATACCCACACCTATTTTTCAGGATTAAATGGACATTCTAGCTGCTGCTTAAAAAAACTCTTTACATAAAAAGCAATCCTAATATATATAATGCAACTATTCACCTTTTTCTAAGATGCAGAAATCATATTCTATGTATACAATCCAGTACCATTTGTGGAAAATGTTCGTTCGCATGGGTATCGAAATCATCGTTACCAACACTGTCCGTGAGTATTTGCAATATCGGTGGAGAACTGCATAGAGTAAATTAGATTGTTATATCACTTCAACATTCACATAACCTAGATGTATGACCAATTGGATTTTATGTTAATTTCCTTTTGTTTTACTCATGACTTCGTTTGACCTCAAATTTTGATAAAACTAAACATCCCGTTAGAGAATTAATCATTTGTTCCTCTGGTAATATCTATACTATTTTCAATGCCTCAGTTGTTGCAACATTACTTTCATCACAGCATAAATTTTATATTTTGACATCATTCCCATAGACACAATATTTTGATTTGCCGTAAAAATTGTTTTGTGCAGTTAACTAATCATGGTTAGAATTCTATGAAACGGAACGTATGTTCATTAGCAACAGAAGCGCTACATGGATAATTGTTCATCTGTATGCCAAATTTTATCAATATTTGATTAATTACAAAGCCATGAGAATTAATTTTCCTTGGGAAATTAACTAGAATCAAATGGGAAAATGACGTAGCGTTAAAAACTTTTGGCACGTTAGTGTACTTTTTTTTTAAATTCTCCTGTATTTTTCGTCAATACAAGTACCGAAACGACCAGGTACCGAAACGCCCAGGCTTGAACGTAAACAAAATAGAGTGATCTCTCTTGTCGGCAGGTGCTTGCGTTACCAATGAAAACATGTCGGCTGTGTATAGACCATATAAGATGGTTTGGGATATAATTTCTCTGTGTGTCCTTCTCACAGTCGTGTTACACGGAACACAGGGTAAAGTAACAGCATAACGATTATATTTATACGATTGATTTATTTCTTGAAGGTGGTTTATTATAATAGCATACCATCGAATTCGTGATAGTGAATAGCTAGGCTACAGTCTAACGGGAGTCTAACGCCTAGCGTTACTGAACCAGCAGAGCATGTTAAATATCAGCGACAATATTTATCATGTCAGACAACAACCAGATATTTCCTTATTTTGGTGTAGTTTTGTCTAGGATACACCACAAGGAGTTGCAAACTTCTAATTAGCAATTTAACGATTTGCATAGTTAGCTTAAATTTAAGGGGGGGGGGGGGGATGTACTTGGTTAGGGTATTATTAGTTATATGGTTTGTTACTGACCTTCTATGGAACAATAGAGGGTCAGTAAAATGCATAGGGGTGAGACAGAGTAACAAACCATGTAACGAATTTATCGCATCGAGAACCATTTTATACCCTCTTTTATCGAGTTTTGATACACCTCAAATGTGTGCAATTAATCTAAAAAAACTGTTTAGGCCTATAACGTTTGAACATTTAAAGATAAAGGCTTCATATTTGGTATGCATACTCAACCAATAAAGTCCTTCGACATAACCCAAAGTTCATGACTGTCACCTCGTTACATTTCAATTCTTCTCTGCATGAATCTTCTTCCTTTTTTCGCCAATTTCTACTCAGGTCATCTGCCCAAATCGTGCCATATTTATCAACAAGCTGAGTCGCTTTCAAATAGTACCTGATGTCATGTCAAGCGGGAGGTCAACTATTTTCAACCGGCGTAGGGGTGGCAACTCTTATAAATGTTTTTAAACGGTTTTAACATTTTCAGGACGATCCTGTACGAAAAAATACTCAGGAAGGTGTTCGTTCGGGGATATTTGGGAAGGCGTATTTTAGACCTGATTTGTTTTAATTTCGAAGCGACAGACAAGGGCCGCCATATTGCCCCCCAAGAAATTTTACTGACCCCCTATAGTCGCATAGGGGGTCACCACGTGACCCAATTGTAACCAATCAGATGCAACAATTCTGTTCGAGGTGCGATCAATTAGGTTAAAAGAAGGGCGTTGTTGTTTCAATACATGTTGGTTGATAAGTATAAATAACCTAACATAACATATGCCCATGCATCCCTATCATTTTATAGATTTACTTGCAACTCGCTTCAATGTATTTTTAATTCAAGATAAGATAAATTGAAGTAACAGGAATTTTGTGGATCAGTACATGCTTTTATTATCATTGACATTGTTGTGGTTATGTATACTGACATGGTCTTACTTAATTGTTATAGAAATAAAGGAAACAATAGTATCGGGATAGAACATAACAAGAAACAGTTCTGTATTTTTACTCTCCCCCTGTCTGGTAGCTATAGTGTGTTGTTAGCAACCTTCACTAGATTTTATGCCATCACTTGTGTGTTTACCTTGTCACACCACAGGTAAATGAATTATTTATTGCATTGATGACATGCTTTATTGGTTTATTGATTCTGAATTTTTCCTCTCTACTCACAAACAATTTGATAAGTTAGTATAATACATGCACCATTTTATTTATCTACGAATATCACAACAGGACCAGAAATCCAAGTGTACAGAAGTAATAATTGTTTTGCTTTATTTTAATGACAAAACTCTGTCCCTACATACATGTGTAAATATTTAACACTGCAAGGGATATCATTTAAAACTGTTTTTTGAAACAATTGTTTATTCACAATTTCTTGAAAAATTCCAAATATATTTAAAAGTAAATAGAAACAATTTAAAGTATCAAACCTAAAGTTTAAGGTGTTAAAATATTTAGATAAAACGTTAACATGCCCAAAATTGATGATAACATTTCTTAGTTATCTCCCTTACAATATTACTCTCGAGATTTTTTAATTTTGTTTGTTAAAAAAAAGGTATCAAAGGCAAAGTGATCCACATATCATATGAATATATTTGATTACTAATGTGGTAATGGCCAGTTAATATACCCTTTCACCCCTATGCAACTTTAGTAGACTCTACCATGCATTGATCTGGATGAGTCCATTATGGTCAACAGTGGTGAAAGGGTTAGCACAGATGATTTAGGGGGCCTAGGTTTGAATCTTTGTTTGATTCCAGTCTTTTGCATTGCTAATATCTCCCCAACATTAAGACTATTTTCATATTATCCAACATCCCAACTAAAATTGTATTATCGACCAAATTTCTTAAGCGGAAGTTAAGCAAAAGGTATACTCCAAGATATCACAAAAAATAATATTACATGTTGTCCTGTTGTTCTCAATGTAGAGTAGATTGTATCTGGGTACACATGAATGTTTGGGTTAGAAAATCTGCTCATAATCTGAAAACATTCTTATAAAGAAGGTTATCCAGAGAAAATAAGGGTTTTATCTATAGTAGTAAGGTATCACAACCAACAAGTGGGTTTTATCTATAGTAGTAAGGTATCACAACCAATAAGTGTTTTTTTTCTGGGTACTCAAGTTTTCCTCCACTACCAAAACCTGGCACGTCCTTAAATGACCATAGCTGTTAATGGGAGATAAAACACAAACAAACAAACCAAACACAATCATGAAGTAAGTATTTATATGTGTCGGTCTGGTGATTAGTACGATATGTACCCTGTCACCTGCATCAGCCAGTATTTGTCTGATGAAGGTGACAGGGAACGTATCGTACTACTCACCCAAAAGTCACACATAGACACTTACTGGTTGTGATACTTTCATACTTACCAACCTGAAGGAAATGTTTAGAAATAGCATTTCATCTGGTATGTTTATAAAATTAAAACATAGATATGCCCTTAATGTTTACAAGTTATAACCAAACTAGTATCAAAAACCTGAATATTCTTACTTGATCTTATTGCACAACTTAGAATGACCTTGATAACTTTTATTGACTAGCTGACCTCCGGGACCATGTGACGGAGTACGAGGTGCTGGAGTCTGTTACGGTGCACAGTGTAAAGCGACGGAGTACGGAGGACGGAACATATCGTCGACCAAGCAAACATGTCAACTTTTATGCAGTTGGCAGGTAAGGCAACCCACTTTTTAAGTTAATTATCCCAGGACTATGAAAGTTTTGGTACCTTCTAAAATTTCTGGCCATTCATCTGGAAAGAGGTCAGAGAATAAAATCAAGAAATGGATCAAATAATCAGGCGCGTAGCTAGCCCCTTTACCATGTGAAAGCCCGACATGGGGTTGCCGAAGGGTACGGGAGGGTGTCTTCCCCCTCTCGTAAGGGGGTCTAGGGGGTCTCCCCCATGAAAATTCTGTTTTCTAGAACGTCTCTGGGGGGTCTCCCCCATGAAAATTTTGTTTTCTAGAACGTCTCGGGAGCCATTTCCCACGTCCTGATGTCTGTTTTCTCGTTTAAATCCGCAAGAAAAAAGTCCTATTTTTGGTATATATATATACCTATTTACGTGGATCCAGTGTAATTCTGAAGATTAACCGTCGGTATTGCTTTGTACACCCTCCATACATACATTGTCTGGTTTTTACCTAATCTTGATAAATGCATTTGATACTTCTGCATTAGTGAACATGCAATTGGGTTTGTCTTTCTCATAATCTGATCCGAGTTAATTGGGAAGCGAGGTTACCCCCACTGTCACCTTTACTCAGTCTCCCACACAGTTTCGTCTTCTGTTTGTGCTTTGTGACTGGTTCCTTATACTTGCTCCTGTTATTTGTTGGGCATTTCGAGAAGCGAGGTTGCCCCCACTATCATCGTCATGCCCAGCTTTGCAGTCTCCGACACCGTTTCGTCTTCTGGTTTCATAAACATTTTGTGGACATGGAAGATAAATAAAATTTTAGTTTTATATATGTCCATTATAGAAGGTATTATTATGCACAATCTGACAAAGTAAAAAAATACAAAGCACCGTGATTTTTTAAAATTCTGTTGTGTTGTAATTGGGAAGGCTCCAGAAGACAGTTTTCGTCAAAATCATGTGCAAGCCCGGGCTTATTGGCTTACATGGTAGCTACGTGCCTGATAATAGACTAGGCCTAAATAAACATCTACATTTACACATTTACCTAGTTTATTTACAACAATGAGGACAGAGAAGTATAGCTAGATTTAAAATTCCATGGGGAGGGTGGGAGAGGCGATTAGAAATATTTTAAGCTAGCCATCAGTAAAATGAGGCCGCGTTGCAAGCAATATTTGCAAAGCTATCAGGAAACCTGCGTGGCAAAAACACAAAATATCTTAAATTAAGTTCACAAATAAATAACACTAAATATATTTGGCAGTAAAACTGATTGGTGAGAAAAGCTTTAAATATTAAGAAGTTTTGCTAGATTGTATTACAATGATCAAGTTGTATATATGTGTAATTAGATATTCTACTGAATGGTAGTATTTTATCACTTATTCACTCATATCAACTGGTGGAATACAACCAAGCAATTTTCTGATTGACATTTTTTTTTTTCAAATGCTTTTTTTTCTGATTGAGTAAATTGACAATCTGTTTATTCCACTGTACACTACCTACATTTGGTATTATCCTAACAAACTACCATAAATGTTAATTGTCTTTTGTAGGAACTTCTCCTTACAACTCAAGGAATCACTCGGAATATTCTCCAGTAATTTTAAGTTCCAGATTGTTGATGAGGAAGGCCACATGACAGAGGATAAGGACCTGGATAAGTTCAACTTTTACCATGGATGGGTGGATGGTCAGTTCCTGCCATCATAGTCCAGTTGGCTTATAATTGAATTGATAACAACAGAATGTTTTGTTTTGTTTTTCACAATAGTGGATATCTGTGCTCCAATACAAAAAAAAGTCTTCTAAAACATTCCTTGGGAAAAATGTTTTATTTTTATCCTTTTTGAGATCAAGAAAATAATGAAAATAACTTATTCAACCAAATTTGAAGAGTTAGTCAATTTCTTGTGAAGCATTGAGTATTGGAAGCTGATCTTTTTCAAGATCAACTAGAGTACAAAATAGAATTTGCTTAACAGTTGCATTGGAATAATTGTACTGAAAATGTTGAGCCATATGGCTGAAAATCATTTTGATTTTGAGGAAAGATCAAAATATTTCTGTTTAATATCTTAAAATAGAAAATATATTGGAAAGTCTTTTTGACATGTTTTTTTAAGTGAACAATGCTGGATTCCTGGTACTAAGTGTAAGTTGTTATTTTCAGGTGAGGATAAGTCTGAGGTGACAGCCTACTTCGACGGGGACGCCATGACAGCCTCCATCTTTCTCCCCCGAGACGAACTTGTAATTGAAGTAAGTGACCCAGAGCGTAACCATTCACAGGGCAATGGTCAGTAGAGAAACTTGTTTATCTGACACTTAGGTTTCTACTACCTAAATTGGAACCTTGGTCCCAGCTTCAGGATTGTCGTTTAATTTTGAGAAGCCCCTTCACGTTGACGTTTTCAATCTTCTGTTCATAGAGATGGCTCCTGTTTCAGTGTTTTATAAGCCTTTGGTTTTGTTCAATAATTTTTACACTGTTAAACTTTGTATCAAAATGTCATTTGTTCATGAGAAATTTTGGATTATAAAGGGAATTGACAATATAAAAATGGAGATGCATAAAGGAATTTTTATGAAAAAAGAAAAGCGTGATCTTGAAAATATACAATGATAGGCATTATATCCAGGTTTTACTTTATATGCTGTATATATATTTATGTCATTGTGAAAATAATGAAAAAACTTGGCCTGGACATTTTGTATTAAGATTGTTATTAGTTCTGGGTACAACAGTAGGACATTGTAGTTGGCCCATAATGAATAAATACATGTCAGTCTATTGATTTATAGATTACATGTTAGTTATTAAGTGTCCCTGATCACAGGTACAGCATTATCTCTGTTCTCACTGTACACATACTTTCTTAATTCTGTTTTTTGAAAAGACAATTTCACAACAGAATACCTATAAATTTTATCAAAACCATAATTGTTCAGAGTGGCATTTAAAAAACTATTTAACAGCTTTTAACTATAATTTACAAAATGCATATTACCGGTTATAACCTTAAATTGTACAAGATTTTTTTTTTTTTTTTTTAAATATTTTGATGACCAGTTAAAGTCTTGTCTTATGCAGGTTTCACTAAAGATTACAATAAATAAAAATATGAAATGAGATTTAAAATATGAGTTTGTATGCCTTAATTAAAGCTAAAGATCGAGTCTTTGAACATGCATAAGAAAATTAAAATCACATTGAAATATATATTTTTGGTGTGCTTATATGAACTTGTTTTATGTGACCTCCAACAGCCGAAATGGAGACATGATGGATCGAAGAGAAAGAAGGGAGATAACTCTATGATCGTATACAGACCTAAACACATGATAATGCCCAAGACCGAAGACCAGGAACAAAAAGGGTATGTAGATAAATGAGTCCTTGACTTCCGAAGAAAAATCAAGAAAATCAGACCCAAGTCTTTTAAAATTCAAACACTTTAATCCTGAAGGAAATTAATCAACCCAGTCCAGTCCAGGAATGCATTGTGGGTAAAGCAACTGGATATTCATGAATATTAATGAGATATTTTGACCTTTAAACCACATGCATAGTGTATTATATATATACAGAAGGAAATGCAGTTGAATACCCTTGCAAGTCGAAGGCTAAGTTAAATAGGACAATGGAGGACAGGTTACCTAATTGTTGATAGTTAGTGTTAGGATTTCTGGCCAGTAATTAGATGTTACTATTGGACATGTCGATGACAGGTGAAGATTGGTCAGGAATGAGACATAAATTCACCAGGATGGTTTTGTTACTTGTAGCAGAACTGGACTGGGTCGATCAAAGGTGACCAAATTGAAATTCGGTTGGTTAGCTAGTCTGTCTAAGGCTCATAGGTTCCGGGTTCGAATCCTAGTCTGGTCACTGCTGGTCATTCCTTTCCTGTTACATTATGATGTTAAGTACTAGATTTGATTTACAATACAATTTAACACAACAGTTAACTCATTCAAGTAACACTAACTGTAACATGCGGGCGTTCACTCATCCAGCTACTGACCATGCTGGATGCTGCTGAACTTGTGAGCGGGTCCCGGGGTTATAACGCATCACTGGAAAAGCTAGCTTGCCAGTAAGGCAGTATTTCCCCCTCATATTCTTTATCTGTAAGACTATTCCCCCTTCGGAGAAGTCTCATCCAGAGACTCGGCCTGGGGAATCCCGTTGGTCCTCCCTGTGTACCAATGCACCCCAACCACCAGGAACCAGCCTTACATAATCCCACCACTGCCACCAAATGTAACATGTTGGCCGTCACCCATCCAGCTACTAACCGCGCTCGACGCTGCTGAACTTGTGAGCGGGTCCCCGGGTTAAACTGCATCACTGGAAAAGCTAGCTTTCCGGTAAGGCAGTATTTCCTCCTCATATTCCTTAGCTGTTACATTACTACCTAAAGGTATATTAATCATACTTGCAACTTGCAATTAACACAATGTGAAATTATATTTTACACCGTTACTTGTGATGAGCTTCAAGTCTAATACAAAATATTAAGTCAGCCTTCAGTGTTCAGTTAAAGAATGGCCATTTCATTTATCTGCTGTCTATCATTGAAGATGTAAGTATAAAAATTAAAACATTGTCACAGCATTGATCACTGGGATATCCACGGAATGTATTAAATGTTTGGTATTTCAAGCAAGCATGAGTTCATCTTATCACTTAGCAGTTACAGATCTTCGTAGATAATTGTGCCTGTAAACTGGAAATGCTTAAACATTGTCATGATATTGACTACTGTGGTAACCTTGAAATGTGTTGGTTGTGGTATTAAATATTTGGTGTATGAATCTAATATGCTTTCACCATATTATTTAGTTATTAAGGATTTTTTTCATGGAACATGGCATCTGTAAGCTGGAAAAGCTGAAACATGGTCACAATATTGATTTTTGTGTATCCACTGAATGCGTCAGTTATGATATGGTTTCGATTTTTTGTATATTTATCTAGCATGCATTCATCTTATTACTTTGAAGATCTTATTAAAAATGATACCTGTAAATTGTAAATGGTGTTAATTGAAACAGATGGATTTATGTGGGGAACGGTACAGAATGAGTTGGTCCTGTTATTATGATTTATATTCATGTATTAATGTAGCATGCATTCACTATATATCGTTTTAAGATGGGAAGTTTTCTTTACACTGAGTTTATTAATATTGAGAATAGAAACCGTTATCTGTAAACTGGATATGGCTTTACATTTGATAATATATATGGTATTGTACATTCGTTTTTAAAATAACGATTTTAAGTTTTTCATATTTTTACATTGTTAAATATTTGTTACTTATTTCAGGGTAACATATTACTGAAATATATTCCAGTATATAGAAAGAATATTTTTGTTTCTTGTTAAATATCAGTTATATTTCATGCACAGGGTAAATATTTCAATATTTTTCATGACTATATAGAAAAATATGCAACCCCTTGAATTATTTTCAGCAAATGTAGTTTTGCAGGTCAAATAGATTTTTCTGATTTCTGTTAAAATTGTTGATTTCTTAGGCCAAAGAGCAGTAAAGAATTTACTGAAGGCATAAATCGATTAAGATAGATCATGGTTTTGTCAGTATTTTAGCATGTCTACTTACTACAGTAATCAACTGTCATCACACCACACGTTCGTTAATCAGCCGATTCACATTCTTACACTCTGAAATTTAATATAATTTTTCAAAGCATGCTGTTATAAGTGTGTGCATGATATAAAATGTATATATTCAGGACATTATGTTTATTATCATGATTAAGTATGATCGGGTTTACATACTCTTGAAATCACTAGACTGATGCATAGGGACCCGGAAATTTGTTGCAGTTATATTTGGAACTTAAGTAAGGTGTTCAGAGTAATAATACACATTTTAGGGGTTTAGAAGAACTTAAGTAAAATATTGTTGATGCTGATGCTGATGATTCTGATGTTGATGATGATGATATTATGATGACAATGAAAAGGATTGTGATAATGCTAAATCCATGTCCGTGTGTGTATATGTGAGAATGCGTGAATGTCCTGTTTATGTATATGTATATGTAATGAAAAACTTGGAAAAATAAAACCATTAAAAAAATAAAAAAAATATTGATCATTGGCGGTGGCATTTTGTAGGCAGTTGTGACTTGTGAGTATTTAGTTTACAATAAAAGCATATTACATGTATAGTATATGTCAATATTGAAAACATTGTTCACAACAGTCTAAACTATTTGATTGAAGTAGATCTGTTTTACAAAATTTCTTATTCTAGTCCCTCACCAGTACTACATGAGGGGACTTATGTTTTGTCTTGTACCTCATTTTATTCAGAGTTATTGCCCTTTGTTCATTTTTGATACCAAGGATTTTTGTGTTGTGTGGTAATATGAATTCCTCACTGTACATTTTATTTTTTTCAAGATTCAATTAGGTGTAATTCCAACTGATAGTCAAAGCTTTTAAATTTTTTTTTTTTTTTTTTTT